AATGAAAAGCCAGTATCCAGCACTGGTGGGTACGAAGTACAAATAGTGTTGGTCACCGTCTACCATCAGACTGCATCTTCCAACATTACTCCATTGCCTTGCGAACTATACCTCTAGGTCGAAGGCTAGAGAATTGACCTGAGAAAACCTTCGGTTTGAGCACCCGAATAGTATCCTAGAACACACAAAAACCTACCTAATGATTTATGCGGTGCTTAAATATTTTGGTGCTCCTTTTTACCAATTTTGTCTTGAAAACTCCGTTGGTTTGTCAAGTATCTTGGAGATGTTTGTAATTGAATTTTATTCTACAAATATTGTTTTCAAAATCGAAATCTAGAAGTGCATAAACTAATATTAACGTAATTAATTTAAGAAAATATTTTTCTTTTTAATGGCTTAAGCGTTCATCTGAATAACTCAATCTTAAAAGTCTGTACTTTCAAAAAACTTGTAACATTGCGTTTATACCTTTGAAACACTTATATGAACTTCTATAACAGTTTCAAATTTTCTCGTCAATATAATCTGTCTAATGTTTTGGACTTTGTAACGAATGTTTAATAGAATCACTGAAGTTTGATATGAGGATTTAGGTGTTTAAAATATTTTTTGCTTAACCATAATCGTTTGGTTTGAACATTCAGAATTCTATGAATTAAAACTTTTCATATATCAGATATCATTGTGTATGTGGTGCGTGATTAAGTTCCGTGATTATATTTTCTTTTCCTACTTAAATTGTTTAGTTCTTATGTGATTGATTTTATTCATAACAAATCATGTATAATTACTGTAATAATCTCGAAATATCTGTGTACTTTTTCTTTTCTACTTCAGAATTACTATGATCCTACTAGGCTTAAAAGATCCATTCGTACCGTTTGAGAATGCTGTTTGTAAGCTGTTGTTTGGTGGGACTGTTGATGCTATACGTAATGCTTTTGAACGTAGTCGTAACAAAGCTTCTGAAGCTATGCCTTCAAATTTGTCAAATGTCAGTGGAACAACTCCATCAACTGCCAATATGACTGGAAATGCAAATTTCTCTTCGACTGGTACTGGGACAGGACAAGGTAGTCAAGGTTTACCTAATAGCAATGCAAACAGTTTCAATTCAAGTGGTCTACGTGACCCTGTCAGTCGTCAAACATCATCTCCAAGTGATAAAAAGCATGACTAATTTTACTCCAAACAAAATATTTTGTAGACTTACCTGTTTTATCGATCACGTATAAATACTTTCTTCAAAGGAATATTATTATACTTCAAAATCCATATCTTAGTTGGGGTATGCTATGTAAATTAGATCTCTTCTTTCTCTATGTCCGTGCATTTATGTATGAATGTTTGCATCTCATGAGCAAAGTTAATATTTATTTCCTGATAAGGAAAATAATCGATTTGTCGTTTAGTTAAATGATAATTGTTACCTTGTTAAATTACACATTTCAGGTAACCATCGGTTTATGCATCTATTCTTCAAATTTTACAGTTTCACAATTTGTTGTACCTCTTTTCTCTTGTATTGTGAAATTGACTGATATACACATCAATAGTTAACTGCAGTAAATAGAAACCTACATGTACGTTCCATTGTGTTTTTAACGTTTCTTCGCTTCCTTATATTAGTTTTCTGTATTTTATTTTACAAATCAACCTATTGCTGTTGTTATTCATTCATTTTGTTTACATTTTTAGTTACGTGATTTATCAATATTTATGAGTTGTTGTTGTTTTTCTTTCCGTTTTATATCTTTTCCCATATGCGCACCCCATCCCTCTTCAATGTGTGTCTCTATACTTTTCACGATTACTATATTCCTCTAAGTTTTAATCAACATTAAGATTAGTTTGATTGTTTCGTAGAATTTCAGTTTTAATTGGTTATTTTTGAGACGGTGGAGAAAATTTGTAGCTCAGGTGGATGATTGTGGTGGTGTTTTGTTCTCTATGCTGGGTGTTTTGGTTGTGGAGCTTTCATTGTTCTTCTGAACAACATCAACTTTAGATAGGAGTTTGTGCTAGTGATGTTGTTCAGAAGGACAATGAAAACTCCACAACCGAAACACCCAGCATAGCGAACAAAACACCACCACAATTGTTTGTTTATTCTACAAATTAGAATGTGTATAAAAGTTTATTTTAATTGAAAAAAATATCACTGTTAAATTACGACTTATGTACGAAGTTCCTTCTGCGTTGTATCCGTCTGTCTGTTAAATTACGAATAATAATATTAGTAAACTTGGTTAGTAGATTTATGTTAAATATGAAGAATTTTTTTCGCTCATAAAATATGAGTAGTTAAACTGAATTGAGTCGATTCGACTTAGTTAATTAAATACAATTTCGACTATGACATGGATCAAGGTACTATGCTTGATAACAGCGAAGAAGGAAATTTACTCACTACATGAAATGCTTAAAAGTCAAAATAATGATATCGAATCAACAGTTAAGGACATGGAATCATAGAAATGAAAATGTGAATGAATAATTCGATTCGAAATTAATCGCTTCAAATATTAGACAACAAATTACACATATGATATGAACTTCAGTCAGACCCATTTCATCCGGTGTAATGGCTTAATCCGTCGACCAATGATTTATCTGATGATCCGTACATTCACTGTCATTTTAATTATACTATCATCAAAAGCGCTCATCAGCATTAAGAAATAATCTGGAATGAGCTTCTGACTCACCTATGATGTGATGTGAGTAGTAAACAAATGCCGACAAGAAGTAGTTGTTTTTACCAGCTAATGCATTTCATTAATTTAAAATTCATCAAGATTAGATAATATGCTCTAATTAAAGTAATAATAATAATAACAATAGTCTGATTCTATATTATGTGTGTAATACAACAAGTAATTCTTAGCATTCAGTATTTCAACAATCTTTCCTAATTTTTATAATGTATGGGAAAAAACTTGGGATTATGGCGAACTGTCATCAGGATTTTTTACTTCAAGTGGTGTCCCTCAGGAAAGTCCACTCTCTCCATTCTTTCTTAATTTTGTCATAAACATGCTCCTAGATATAACATTATCTTCGTCTGGATTTTCAGCAGTCGACCTTCTACCAGGAAACACGCTTGCTGACTTAGAGTATGCTGATGACATGGTCCTGTTCGGTCAAAACGCAGACGAAGTGCAGTCTTCTAACTACCCTAAGCAACAATGCAAGCATGTTCGGGACGCGATTCTCCACGTCGAAATGCAAAATGTTGCTTCAAGATTGGGTTTCATCGGCACCTGAACTAGTGATGGGGAGTGAAGCAGTTGAGCATGTTGACCGCTTCACTTATCTCGGGAGTCTCATCAGTGCTGATGGTCTGGTGTCTGACGAAATCTCAGCACGGATACAAAAGGCTCGATTGGCTTTTGCCAACCTGCATCGCTTATGGAGTAGGCGAGATATCAGTTTGCTGACTGAAGGACGAGTGTACTGTGCATCAGTTTGCTCCATACTACTATATGGATGCGAAACATGGGCAGTAAGAGTTGAGGATAGTCGTAGGCTATTAGTATTCGATTATAGATGTCTTTAAAGCATTGATCGTGTATCATGGGACAACCGAGTAAGCAATGCTGGTGTTAGGAAACAGGTACTAGGTAAGGATGGCAGGTCAATAGATGAAGTAGTGAAACTTCATCAGTTGAGGTGGTGAGGACATGTGTTACGTATGCCTAACCTGAGTTATGTTGGTGTCGATTACCCTGGTCGGGGTCCGCGAGATAATAGTAATCGATGGTTAGAGACACTGAATAACATGGCTCAAAATCGTCTGCGATGGCGTAGGCGCATTTATTCTTGGTGTACTCTTAAATCCTAACCTTCTGAATTCCTCATCACCTTTATCCTTTTATTTTTAAGTTGATTTCACTAGATTCTACTTCTTGAATAATATCTTTGAACCCTTATCTCTCCGATTACTGCTAATACTTTCACTACCCCTACTACTATGGGATTTGGATTGACAATTGCACCTCTGTGCTAATGTGGTGTGGCAACTTGAACTGATGCACGTACATACGAATTTCTAGGTTGCGGTTTATTGATTGGTCGGTGTCACTCTCATTGTGACATATAAATAGTGAGCAGCGGAGTATTTCTCAACAGTTGCTACTTGAGAAAATAAGTATTCGGAGATTGACGCCTATGGTACTATCTGAGTATTTTGAAGACCAGAAGAGAGGTGAAGGAAGACTTGATATCCTGGATTGCATTGCTAGTGGTTGTCTAAGCACTGTGTATATACATTTTGTAAGTAAACCGTGTCTTCCTTAAATAAATATATTCTATGCGATCTTGACTTCGTATGCTGCACCATATCATCAATGAAAACTAAATCTAAGTGCATTTTACAACGAGTGGGGAAATGGACATTGTTTTGGTGACTAGAGATGAAGAAAGATAATCCAAAACGAAACATTAACCTATATATATATATATATATATATATATATATATATATATATATATACTAAAATTTAACTAAATGAACACCCGGATCGATTGCAGTTTGGTACATACACATCACAACAAAATGTCTCTAAATTATTTGATTGTTTGTTTCTTCGCTATTGAAAAATGGATGAAATTGAAAAAAGTTCGTAAGACATATTATATGAACACTTAAAAAATCAATTTATTGTATTCATTTGACACAGGCATACAACAGTGTAAGCAATAATAGAAAAGTGCGAAGTTAACGCATGATTAGGAGAAAGTACATATCTACACATAAGATGTATGCAAAAAAGGTAGTGAAAAATTTCATATATCCTACAAAAGCTCAGTAAATCTAAGATGATCAATATCCCGGTATTGATAATTATTGTACAAGTAAAACTATATGCACAAATCCGAGAAATTACTGAAAATGAGAATTTATTTATTCCTTTGTTAATGGTAGTCTTGTCATTGCTTCATCATTTTGATTGGTTTGTGTTATTTTCTATAATGTACATACGTGTCTGATTGTATGACATGAAGAACGGAATAGATATATTTCCAGTATAAAAAGAAAATCATGTTAAAGAAAGTTTCACAAAAATATTCCTATGATTAAGTTATAAAGCATATTTTACATGATGTCCCATCAATTGATTTGAAATGAAATACTAAACGAATAATATATTATCCATCTCATTAAAAATATTGAACAAATCACAGAAATTGATAATTTTGCACGTTTCTTTGACAAATTATAATCAGGACAATATGGACAAGCGAAGCTACCACATACATTACATATACTATTCGTGTATAGTGAAACAACATTGTACAATGAATTATTATAACGACCTGTAAATATGAAAAGAAGATATTGATAAACAAATACACATAAATGGATAATAACTTGGTAGTATTCAACGTTAATATAATTGCTAATCACACAGATAACAGCGTAAACACAAAAGTTTGCTCCAACTATTGCATGGTTTAAAAACGGAGGGCTACTAATTAACTGTTATTGAAGTAGCTTAATTACTGATCGATACGTTTAAGTGAATTTTACTGTAATTATCTAATATTATTAAAATAAAAGTTTAACAATTGAATTAAACATTTTATCAATGTGCTATATCATCTTACTCTGTATGAAAATTTATCTTGAAAGCATTATATGATGCAGAAATATATTCATGATTTGTTAATAAATTATACACATTTGAAATCATCAATCAATCATTGTTAGACCAACATTAGATTGATGATTTCAAATGTGTAAAAAACACAAACCTACAAAAGTCTGCCCGAAAATAAATTATACGACTAAAGTTCTTCGTAATAGTTAACTAGACCAAACCGTTGTGAGCGAGTGGTTAGATTGTCTCTTTTTACTTATGTTGTTTACCTCATACTACACGTTTTCTTTTGACTATTTATTTGAGTGTTCTTGAATGACATGGTTTCTGGCGCTACTGCTTGGCATTGTAATTATTGTTTATATTAACAGGGTTTGATCTTTAAAGTTTTCTCAAACAATTGTTTCTTGGAGTTAAGTTCGAATAAATACGGATGCTTCATGTCACTCAGTTACAATATGGGACTGAATCTAGAACTTTGAACTCTACTAATGAATAAAATATCTGAAGTGATGCAGAATGATCTAAAATTTTGGTTTTCGTCAAATCATGTTATGTGGTTCACTATTCTTTTGTTGTCGATTGATTCGAATCATACTGATCAGTTAACTGAATCCTCCAGATGAAGTTTTGACAGTATTTTCGTTAGACTACGGTTTGTCCAATTAGAAATGAGAATGAATGACATTCATTTCATTGATGGAATAAATTTTATGAGAATGTATCATCTAATGAAGACCTACAAAACCATCAACTCATAATATGTAAAATGCTTTTACGAGATCCTATTTAGAATCTCCTTGGCCATAAAATAGAAATTATTTCATATCTACTTGTCAATATTAGGCTTTTTCACTATGGAGTTTTTGAAGATTATTGAGTTTTACTGAGATAAAGAACAGATTTAAACTAGGCAACCATTGAAAATGTGGAACCACCGGATAGCTACTTTGTTTTAGTATTGAACTCCTCGGCAGTGCAAAGTCATGAACTTCTTTCTCTCGCTTGAATACTTAACCTCTAAACCGCTGATACGGGATCCAATGGTTTATCAGTTTAACCTAAATCAATCCAAGATAATGTGTTACCATCTTCCATTGTTTTTGGTGCATTACCTGCCTTACATCTGACGCTGTTTGACTACAATGGTCACGGCTTTTCAAAGATTTTCTCACTAAGCTGTTTGTGAATAGACATTGAACTCAAAGTATGAAAAACGTGTGTTCAGTATTCAACAAGTAAAAAAAGTTTTTTTAATTTTATTTACCTGGTTCATAATATTCATAAGCTGAACATCTATGCTGCTGGGTTATATTAGCTACTGGATAGTAACGTTCAGCTGTAAATTGTATACATGTTTCATTTGGTGTAATCTGATAAATAAATTATTAAAAACAAAAAAATATAAAGATGGTAAAATTTTCAATTCACTGAAACCAACCAGAAAGACAATTGTATATATATATATATATATATATATATATATATATATATATATATATATATATATATAATGGTAGGTCTTTAGGCTCAGAAAAATAAATTTTATTGAAAAGTTAGCAAGAACAAGAATAAGAATGATCGAGATGAATACAACCATTAGTAAATCTACAATTTTTTTGCCGTGGAGTAGAGGAGAAACAATTAGGTAAAGGAAAGTAGTTGTATCATCTAGTTTTAATAAGAAGTAATTATAAGTAATTAAATACAAAAAAGCCTTTTTCTTTAAGGATAAATTTTAGAGAAAATCTCAAATATTAAGTGATAAGATACACATGGACTTTCAATTCTAACAGTTCACCAGTCTTTGCATATAAAAACATAGGAATTTCAAAGATAAAAAATGTTTTGAATTATTTCCAGTTTATCAATTTACTACTTACTGTATCAAAAAAGAAATGTACATATCTAGAGTTTGCACGTGCATAGCGTAGATTCGGAACCATATAACTATTCACATATCGTCTTAAATCATCATTTAAAACAATGAATCCTGTAGGTAATCCAATTTCGAACACAGCCATTCCACTTTGAGGTAATGGTTCAATGCCCTTTAGAAATTATACAAGTTGAACAAATAAATTTTATGCAAAATTAATCTGAATTTGTTTACTTGTTATCAATTTTAAATTTTTGTAGACAAAAATTTGAAAGTGTACAAGTTTACTGGTCCAACAGAACCGTTTTATAGAAAAGATGTTGATATTTAGTCAGTTCCAAGTGTTTTTAAAATGAATATATGAGAACTGACTTACAACCACTTGTGGATCACATACAATGCAACCTGGATGATATTAATTCATGTATTTTAAAGCAAAAAGTATTTGTCCGATAGATTCTAGAACACCAAACTGTTACTCTGTGTTGTTTTTACAAAAGAGGATAAGCTTTTGTTACAGTCCATGCACCGACAATTTACACCAGAGATTCTTTTAGGAATGAATTAAACTAGACCCTGACCCTTTATGAAAGCGTAAATTTAAAATAAGTCTGGGCTTTTTAAAGTAATAGACAAAACTGTTTTCTACATTTACTGATGCAAACCAATATGTAGAGGCGATTAGTTATAAGATTTGTAACTCTTTATCAATTGTAAAACTATCTTATTCTGAATCTTCTTCTCTGGTATAATTAGTCACGATCAGTCATAAAAATGAAATTACTGAATTGATGCTTACTCCTTTGAAACAGCCCTTAAAAATTCTTATACTTTTGAACATAACTCATTCTCCTGTTGAAATTATAGAAACACTAACTATTTAAAAATTATTATTGATGAGTGTGTCTAATTGAATTCCCTTCTTGCATATAATTTACACTTATACTGTCTTTGGTTGATTTGATTAATTAACATAATATCAGATCATATAATAACTTCTATGATCTACCACAACAACTTTTGCTGTTTCTTTCTCTCTGTTTTGTTTCTTCTAGTTATAGATAACTACAATTACTCTGTAAAAAACATAGCCCCCCACCACTTACTTAGAACTCATGATTTCCAACTTTTGCCTAACATTGTTGTAATCCTTGTGACAAATGTCCTGTCAAAAAAATTTGTGAATCATATCATTTCAAACAGTTTAACCTCTTATCTATACCCTTTAAATGTAATATTGTTTTCTGTGCGTAAATAAACATCCATTCTTTAATTATTCTCAGAGTATAATTTATTTGATATTGTTTTGTGGTGAACTGTTAGACTGATAATCAGTAGTATTTTAGGTAAGTTCATTAGTATGCACCTCCATACTGGTCAAACATACTCTAACACAAGGACATAATCACCTTTTATCCAACAATTTTAATCGAGTGCTCGATATGTGGGTGACTCATTTTTCTATGTCACACAAATATTCTTACTGATTTAATCCCAAAATCGATCCAATGTCAAAACTGTTACATTCCATTTGATACATACGTCAAAGTGACTGAAAAAATAGATACAAAGTTGAAGATTAAAAAAGAAACTTAATAGCATAAAAATAAAATGAAAATTATTAAATTACCATAGTTCCAACCCATCGTCCACATGCAGTCATAATCATTATAGAATTATTACGACTTAAAAAACCAGGAGTACACTCAATTTCAAAGCTTCTAAAAACTTGTTCTGTATCTAATGGATTCTTAGGCATTTTTTGCATTTCTTTATATTCAACATTCACTTCTGCATCTAATTGTAATAAAACACGTCCAGTACCTTCAAGTTTCATTGTAATATCGCCCCAAACATTTTCTGACGGAAACTGTTATACAAATAAAATGTGATGGAATATTTTTTAATCACCTGAATAAAATTTACACTTCAATTATATCTCATTTTTACATTGAATATAATTTCATGGAATAATTTAAATTTTTTGTTTATAAAATACTCCTTAAGTTTAATAATAAACTAGAAAATAAGTAAATAAAATTTTCTAAAGGGCCCAGTACTATTTTTTTTTTATTCACCTTTGTTGTTCACCAAAATGTAATCAGAAAAAAAATCTGATCATAATAAGTAAAACAATAGAACCTTTGTATTTATGATCAAGGGATATGATCAGATTACTAAACAAAATTTTGTTATACTGGCACAATTGACTGACGTTGTCAAACTTGTGGTTTGTTTATGAAATCAACATTTAAATCCTGACAAGTAAAATATTCAATTAAGGTAATGTAGCCGATCTTAGAGATTAGGTGAATAATCAAGGATTGAAATGAAAACCTCTTGAAAACTCTGCTAATTCTTGCCTTCTATCAATAGTACTGTATTACATTGCAGGTATGAAATAATGATACTTGAATAGTTGAATAATTTCCAAGTTTGATAATTCTTTATTAGTAACAATTTCATATAGGCATACTAAAAAAGTAGCTGTCTTGAAAATAGTGCAAGATTTATTAAGTCATAGTCAACGTAAAAAATTATTTGAATTACAGCAATAAAACCTGACACCATTCGACTCTTTATTATAATGCTTTCTTTACGCCATTCAACTTGTTCACAAACTTTATTAAACGTTAACCGAACAGCTAATTCTAATAAATCAATAGAATAAAGTGTTTCTAATGAAACTAAAGTATAAATGAAAAAAACAGACAACATTTTTATTACCGTTGTATGCGTAACAGTTGAATAATTATGAGTATCTATGTAAATACGATTTGCCCATGTACTCAATGAAGAAATTTTCTCATCTACAGCCATTCTATATAAAGCACGATTTGTATCAGCCAATGCAAATTTTCTTAATGCATGCATTGCAAAAAGTGAATCCTGTTGAACAGATAAAAAAAATAAATAATAATTCAGTAAAAAAAAAATAAGAAATCTAAAACTTATCCAACAGGGAATAGTTTTTATTTATTTATATATTTTAACATTTAGATATTGGTAAAAGGGAGCACCAAAATAAATCTATATATGTGCGTCATACAAATCACTGAATTTGTACGTGCATTGGGACACTACCTGGGTTCCCATACCGAAGCAAGTGATTTTCTTAAGAGGCCATTCCCAGAGCCTTTGGCCAGGAGGTCTTGTCCACAAGGCGGTGGGGCAACGTTAGGAAATGCAGTCACATGGTAACCGGTGACCAATATTAGCTTCATATATCATTTGTTCCATCAGAATCCTGAAACTATCGAGCATCATTAGTTTAGAATTAGGGGTTCCCAACTCTCCTAGATGAATCCTACTTATGTACCAACCCAGTTTAAGTGCCACATATTAGTTTCTCTTTCTTACAAACAACACCGGTACTACCTGAAATCATTTAGTAGGACTGCTGTCAAAATGGCTATAAATGCGAGTATCTGAAATGAGAGAGCAGGATATGTCAACTCTCAGCAGTATCAGGGTGTTAGGACGAGTGATATGATATTAAAAGAATTTTGAATTTTTGTTCCTAAATCTTTGAATAAAGATATGAGCTAAGTAATTGAATCACTTTATTAATCATGGAAAAAGTATATCTACAAAAAGTATATCAACAACTATACGGTATCACTCTGATCACTTATAAGACTGCATTTACAAATAAATAAGCTGGTGACAACAGACAAATTGAATGGGATACAACGGGGGAGAGAATTCCTATTAGTGTTGGAAGAAGTCATTTATCACTTATCGCTTAATTAACTACGGTATCAGACTGTGCACTTTCAAATATTAAAACTAAAACAAACTTCCCTAATGTTTCAGATATAAGTATCAATGAAAACTATAAATCATGGTTTTTTACTTCAGGGTCTTTTTACTGAATGAATGCAAACTGAAGATATTTAGTTAACACAAGAAGGAAAATTCAGTTATATTTATTATTTAATAATTTAGTTGAATTGTTATTTATCTAATTGTGAAGTTTTCTTCAAATAAACGAGTTAGTGAAAATTTAAAGCACTTTTTAATAAAATTATTATACAAACGTTTGTTCAAATATCCTGTACTAAGTGAATGATATCGGTAAGTTTCAACAGTGAATTCATCTTTAAACAACGGTAATTTAACATATAATGAATAGAATGTGGCTAGTAATGAAATCTGTGACACATGTTTCGTTCTATTTGCGAATCGTCGGCTGGATGTACCTGATGGTTACTCTGATACTTGAACCCAGTACTGTTCGCTTCAAATATCACTGCACTATCCACTTAGCTACTGATCCCAGGTAGACACTCACTTGTGCAACGGATATGAGATTTAATTCATTTTGAAATAGTGTGATTATATGCCATTTAAGACTGATCAGATTTCAGTTAAATAGTTATCAACAACTGGATCATCCAAGCTAAGTCAAATTGAATTAAAACTAATTTTATCAATAAATTTATCCAGTCTAATCACGGTTCATTAAGAATTCACAAAAAACCCAATCACCATTTCAGTTGAATTCTCTATCTGTCTACTGAGTCAAGACGTTAGAATTAAAAAAAAGAATTATTACAGTGAAATACTTCAAATTAATATAGCAGACAAGTGACAACAGTTTTAAGGTCTTACAAATGTGAATAAAGCTACAAAATAATAAATATTCAAATATGATAGATAGAGAGATAATATGAAAATGGAGATTTTTGTTAACTGTGAAAAAAGCATCAATTTCATTTCAGAAAAAATTAGTTTTTACTGAATATCTATCAAGAATGATAATTGATTTATTGTCAGTTGAATATTGGACAAATTCGGTCGGTTTTAATAGACAAACTAGTTTCGATAAGGAAACGTAAATTCTAATCATGAAAGCACTAGTTAATAAAGTTTAGATTCTATAGAGGGAGAAACTAGTGATGCTGTGTTCACAATCATGAAAATAAAAAAGGAAGAGCTATTGGGCGAGAGATAACTAAGGACATTTTAATATAAAGGATAAAGAAATTTCAGGATTATGGAAGTAAGGAAAGACAAAGAATGAACGCACGTGTCTCACTGTGGACTATTTTGACCTATATCATATCTAAGGTCGTTGATCATGGACTACAAAATTTTTTCGAGGATCCCAATCAGATAATCTACACGTTTATCTAGATGGCTCAATCTAACAGTCAATAAGACTATTCATTACCAAAATACTAACCTACAGCTACAAAATAACTTGAAGATTAAAACACATAACTGAATAATTAAGATAGAGAAATTATTATCGAGTTGAAATATTTCTCAATGTCATTGAAATTAATGGAAAGCTTATTTGAAATGTAACTCACAAAAGTACTTGCAAATCCAGCAACATGATTTCGTTCACTAGCTAACCAATGAACCATATCCAAAGCTTCTGATGAACGAAACGACCATTCACCTAATTCATGTTTTAACAAGAAGTAAATACTTGAACATAAAACACCATAACCATCATTTGGCATTTCCAGTCGAGGATTTTCAATTCGTCTACCGGCCTGATCTAATTCCCATTTTGGTGGAGGTATTCTATAATTGGCGTAGTAGACATAATCACCCTTTTGACGAAATGCTTGAATTCGTTTCAACGCACTAGAAAAAATTTTAGAAAAAGGAATAAGTTATACAGTAAAGAATCCATGTTACTAAAGCATTCAAATACGTTGTTCAGTAAGCTATAAATATTTTGTACACAAGCTAATTATTTCTACATGTAACTAAAAAAGAAAGGTGTTTAACTCTGTATTAATTCAAAGCAGTGCATATAATTAGTAATAATGGATACTACTTCTAACGAGAAATTGGATAGGCATAGTGTGAATACATCTTAACTTTTGAATTTCAAGTGTAACATATTTTTTGCTATTTTTTCTAAAAGGAATCTAAATTGCTGTTTTGATATTGATGAGGTTTTTGAAATAAAGCTTTACAGTGACATTAATTCAGTGATAATAACAGTAATATTATTATTACTGTCGATTCGTAGATAACTAATCCTTCGACTAGCCAGTCGTAAAAATTGTGCATCTGTATTTGAAAACATTCATCACTGTGGTACAGTTAATGAAACTAGCTTCATCAAGAAATGAAAATTATTTAAATTCAACAACAATACAAAGAAGTGTTTATTTTTAACTTAGCGGCTTTGTATCGATGGTTATTAGGTTCGATTTACCGGTGTTTCATGCCGAGTTCAGTCTGTAAATTCATTCGTTTATTGGAAATCGAATGTAGATATCAAGACAATGGATAATGTGTGGAAACAAGACGAAAAGAAGTCCGACGACAGAGTTGGTTAGAGAATCCTGGTTGGAAGCTTATATTTCAACAAGGTAACAGGCGTAAGTAAGTATTCAACGAGACAAAATGATCCAATTTTTCTAAAATAGTATTGCAATCATATTCTTTCGCTTATGGTAAAGTTCATGATGCGCGTCAAACTGGAAACTATTATAAAAGTACGGTAAACGTAAAGGTTGAAGTTATTGAAGTTTCTGCAGTTAAAACTTCAAATCCGATAAAAATTACAATATTTATATAAATTTTAAACATGATACTTATCTTATATACATCTTCTAAAGAGAAAGTATACAATACTTACTGTGATATTTTATGCTGTGACGTTGCATCTACAGCAACTTTTAAAGCATATGTAGCAATCATTTGTGAAAATAAATCATCAACATTTAAAATATGTCGACTGAGAAATCGAACAGCCTCAGAAACAATTCCTTCAGCTTTATCTGCACCAACTCCACTAGGTAAAGTACGTTCAGTTGAACGTAATGCAATGACAACCATAGCTGTTGATGGTATCCGACGATGACATTCTTGATCAATCGGATCAGGCCATTTAGTTTTGTTAATAATTGGAGAAAATCGTCTATCTATAACATTGGAAATATTCCAACTACCAGATAATCGTATATCAATTGTTGTTTGACTTATCGTACTATCATCATTTGAATTAAATTGTTGAGTTTGTTTTAAGTAATTAATTATACTAACAAAAGTGTCATCATCTACGTAAATTAAGCGATTCCATTGAGTTTGTCTTGTTAATAGTAAACTCCATAATGCAATGGCTGTAACTAATGGATCAGTTCTAAATATAAGAAGATAGGAAAAAAAGTAAATTAACTTTCAGTGCAGAAAGAATTGTGGAGCCTTTTAATTTTTTTTACTTATTTCACGGATTGATTTAAGTTAGACATTAATTGAAAATCAGGCAGTACTGAAGACCAGTTATGTCCTTGTTTGGTTAAGAGATCAACACGGCCACAAGGGTTATAGTTTTGATATCCCGTCGAGTCATGAATGCGCATTACTGATAAGTCTCATATTAAGACAAAACGTGTTTTCAGTATCTTTTCATTTTCGCAAGTTGTCTAACTAAGATTAATTCTTAATGTAAACTATGAATAATTTCCTTGTTGACTTCTTCATTAATAAAAAAAGTCGTTAGAATTTAGTAACCTAATACATAATTTTTCACATAAGCGTTATGAAAACCCTTTAGAGTTTTATCTAACGATAAAAGAGCCTAGAGTATATTTCAGGAGCAACTAGAAAAACAGTTAGGCAGCCGTGTAAGTGATATCCACTCCAAGGCAGCTTGGAGGAAACCGGCATTAGAAATCCGATTGTTAGTGAGATTACCTCGGAAAAAGATGGGCACATCATTCATTCTCATTCCAGGTGTTTGGATTGATGGGCGGAACAACTTTAGGTAGTCTAATTAGCCTTCAGCCACACTGCGATTACTCACGATTTCTATTCAACCTGAATTGCAAATCGATATAAGTCCTCCAACTCTAAAGGAAGTTGAAAAGGCTATAGGAAATCTAAAGCATGTGAGAGCAGAGGATCCTGATAGATTGACCCCTGAGATTTTTAAGGATAATGGTCCAGTTTAACAGTTCGATTGACCGAGATTTTGGGTAAAATTCGGGAACTGGTTCCAAACACTGATTGTCCCAATTTATAAGAAGGAAGAAATGACCTCTTGTGACAATTACAGAGGCATCAGTCTAACTAATATTGTGTCTAAATTGTTAGCTTCAATATTGTATCAATGCTTAACTACAGCTCGTAAAGACCAGACTAGTTTACAACCTGGATGTGGATGTATAGACCAAATATTAACACTTCGTCAAATAGAAACATTGAAACACTTTGCATCCTTCCAAATTAAGGCAGCGTTCGGGTCTGTTAGTCGTGAGGTTCTGTGGCAGAGAATCAAAGAGGTACATTAATCCTGTACAGGCTCTCCACAAGAATACTAAAGGTCGAGTGAGAGCTTATGGCGGAATGTCATCGGGACTGATTATCTCGCGTGGCGTTCGTCAGGGTTGTTCACTATCTCCATTCGTATTGAACTTTGCCATGCGTTGGAGATTCCTGGTAGGTGACGTATGCTTCATGAAGGTGATAGGCGTAAATAAGTAAATAGATAGGTAAGGAAGAATTTAAAATTTAAGTTGTTGGTACATAAATCGTAATGAATGCGTGTAAAAAAACTGTTGAATCGCATGTATAATAATGAGGTGATAATAGTTTGTTATAAAACAATTATTGTTGTACATAATTTTTCTATGCATAAAAGCTGTGTTCTGTCTACATAACCTAAATAATGACCTTGGAAAATGAATAACTTTTAACTAGACATCACTTATACCGGCATTTACAAATCAATAAGTGCATGTTCGTATACTTGCAACATGTGAAAGAAAGTTATTCTGTCCAGTAAACTATTGATTAAAGAACGAAAAAATGAAAGATAAACTAAATAGATAAATATTTTAGTGTAGAATACATGGCATTATGTCTTTCCCGGAAACAAGGAAATGCCGGTATCACTAGTGACGGAGATGGAAAGCCGGACAAAGTTTACGTGGAATCAAGTTTTTTTCAGCTACAAAGCTACTTTGGTATACTATTTCTGTAACACATACATACGTCAAAAACAATACACGTAGCTAGTAAATTAATCATGGTGTTTATTCAATACAAAACAAATTACTTTCGCTGTATTAAATGAAATCGTGTACAAAAATAGGGCAGTAAGTTTCATGGTGGACATGCATATCGTCCTGGTTGGGGTTAGTTAGCGAGAAGCGCCTGCAGTTGAGTTGATGTTTAGTACGATACTTGAACCCCGACCGTAGCTGTTACCCTGACGTGGTGGTCGGGCTTGCCTATCGTCATGACCCAACCGAGCTATATTGGCTGAAACATATGTTCCTGAAGGATCTATCATGCCAGGCAGGTCGAGTGCAGAACGATGAGACAAAAGCAGCTACTCAAGGTCTGAGGGCGAAGTCGTACTGCTGACTGCAGAGGGGTGTGACAACAGCAAGGTGTTTCCCTCGGACAATCAGCATCTTCAGCGATGCTGACTTCTCACAAGGAAGGAAGGGTTAGAAAAGGTCGGCCCTAAAAATGTCACACCTCACCTTACCTCACGGATTTCCGTCTCCGGCGGTAAGGGTGCCCACTAAGGGCTTTCAAGAGCGGAGCTAATACTCAAAAAACCTCTCATAAAAAGATCGTGCGTGACCGGCCTCAAGCAGTATGCCTAACCACCGACTGCTTCATCGAGCTATGTTTTAAAATGTAGAAATAGCTTGGACGAAAGCTAGGGGTGGCCGGACCAAATCATGGCACAAATCCATGAAGTCAGTGACAACTGGACTGAGTCATGTTGGTAGGTGTCGACTACCTGGTTGGGGTCCGCGAGATGATAATAATCGATGTTTAGAGACCCTGAGTGATATGGTTCAAAACCGTTTGCAATGGCACGGATGCATTTACTTTTTGTGTTCTATGAAATTCTAACCTGAATTAATCATCACCTCTATCTTTCTCTTTCTAAATCTACCTCACTGAATTATACTTCTTGAATATCATCTTCGAACTCTAATCTCTCCGATTACTTCTAATACTTTTACTACCTCTATTACTATGGGATTTGAATTGAAAATTATGTCTCTGTGCTAATGTGGTATGGCAACTCGAACTGCTGTACGTACGTGCAGAGTTCTACGTCTCTGTTGATGGTGATGATGACGGTACAGCTAGCTTCAAGTCTCAGAGTAAACACCAACTCTGGGATGTAGCTGGTGAGTGCTATACAAAACTAAATGGGCCTCCAGGACTTAACTGCTAGACAGCAACCATCTCTTTCTACATAGGTTGTGACTGAATGAGAATATCGAGGCAATCTGCACTAGAAGCACATGTGTCAAAATAGACTGGTCAAATACAATCCTTAACATCAATGGAGAAATTCAAAAACCAATGCAAATGAATTAAGGTTACTTGTTAGAGTCCTCAGATTTTACCTGCTGTTCATAAATTTGGTATTTTAACAATATAATCAGCTTAGATGTAATAAGTATTATGCTTCAAAACGGAGAACATGAAACTGCTTTTCAATGTGTTCTACGTGAAGCCTGGGCTGACGATGTATTTGAGAATGGTTAAGAAGATACTTGCAGAAACTAATGTTAGTGCAATAAAGTTGACAACATTCTTGCACATTAATTTTGTAACTACTATCAAAAAAGGTACTTAATAGCTCATAATTTCATCGTCACTTGAACATTTGCCACTGCTTTATTTCGTTTAAGATGTAATGAGCTTGTTTTGAAACTTACATGGTTTTATCGACTTATTGATCTGACCTTAAGTTTCAGTCAACACTTTTCACTGAATTACCATCTTACTTATTAGTTATGTTATAAGTTGACTTTTGTTCCAGCCAGGAAATGATACAACGCTTGTAAACTTAAACAATATCAGAAACTATTTATTAAATTTAACCGTGTTATTTGTGATATACTACTTGTGAGTGATAAGCTGGGTAATGCTAGAATGAAAAATATTGCGAAACAGACCATTGATGTATTGATTTCAAATGATTAACTTTAGCCTTAGATATTTTTTGTCAAGTTGACATAAGAATGAGGATTAAAGTGGAAGTATGTTTAAAGAGAAAACCAACTTATTATGCTGCGCAAAAGATGACCGTCTTAAGAACGGGTATTTGTGCCTTGGAGACTTGGTGGGGATGTGCGTCAACTGAAAATTTAGTTGATAATCATTTGAAAAGATTTTTATGTGTTTTACTTATAAATGGAGTTTGAAATTTTGAAAATTCAACGTTTAGGGTTTTTACTGACAATGTTTAAAAACGATATTCAGTGAAATATTCTGTAGGTGCTTTGATTGTTGCTATTTCGTGACAGACAATTTTTTCAGCTTACACTTCGATTCCGATAATGTTTTTTCGCAAAATGGACAATAACATATTTTTCACAGTTATTGAAAATGTTATATTCCACAATTTGTGAACAGCTGTAATTTTCATTGTAAAAATGATTGATCAATATCCATCTAATATTAATATGTATGCGATGAAACGTTGGGCTATTTTACTATGTAGACTGATATCGACTTAACCCATTTTCAAGAAAGATGTCTAGGTTTTTACACGCACTGTTATAGCAATAGGGAAAATAAGTGAGGTAGAAAATCATTAGCTTAATAAAAACTAAGTTGGTTACGGATCGGCCGAGCAAGAGCAGCATTCCTACAGTTAAAGAACATACAGAACTTCAGCCAACTGTTGACCAACACAAAAGTCGGAATTTTCAATGATAACATAAACACGGTTCTGCTGTATCGAGATGAAACATGGACACATACCAAAAACTATCATTAATAACATACAGTCATGAACACAAGATCCTCCATATTTATTGTCACCACAAGGTAAGGCCTAACATAGAATCCTTAACGTGAAAGGAAAAGACCGAAGAAAGTATTGCGTCGGTAATTGGAGTAAGACATCAAACCAACGAACAGGACTTGGGAGAAACTGGGAAGGAGAGCCTAGGACAAAGTTGGTTGAAGAACGCTGGTCAGCGGCCTATACTCCATGAGGGATAACAGGGCGTAAGTAAGTAAGTGAGAATTAAGCAATGAACTAGAAGCGAAGCAGAGAACAAAGTAATAATCAACTTACATTTCAGTCAACCTTAGTATAAATTTATTCACAGTCCTTTCTACGAAAGTTTCTTTTAATCAGTATAAAAAGTTTCTAACTTGGTAAATTTACTACGATAATACATAACTTACTCATCTAAACGATCTCTAAAATTAGCAAATGCACCAATTTTCGGATTAAAATATGAAAATCCTTTTTGTAATACAACAGAACAATAAATTAATCCATTTTCTAGCACTGAATATGGTAAGTGTCCAGCACCGTGTAGATAAAGTAACAAATTCATATTGTAGCCTAATTCAAAGAAAATATTTTCTGCTGATGCAAAAGGTAGACGTAAAATATTGTGTGTATCAGCATAACGAAACTGTTCGCTTAAAGCTGGACCAATAAAGTCACCTAGGGAGAAAAATAAGAGAAAAGATAAGATTAAAATGTAATTGATTGTGATTATATTATTGATTTTCTTGGTTTGCTGATAGCAAATAAATATTACCATATTACTAAAATAACATTTCGGCTACAGCAATTTATGTATAGTGCTTAGGTTGTCTCGTCTAGAGTATTGGGGTTTTCTTTTGCCGTATACTAAATCTCCAATCGATTTTTCTTCTAGGGCACATGTATGAAAATGGTTTCTCATGACAACTACCGAAATATTAGAAAATAAATTTTATTAGAGACGATTACCAATTCAAGTTGTAATTATTCCATAAAATGTATAATATTATCAGATCGGAAGATTGATTTCGATAATTGCTGATAATATCCACACTACTGAGGAGTTCGATACTAGGGTGAAAGGACGACCCAGTGATTTCAGGTTTTCAGTTGTAATCTAACTAAGATTACCATGTGATTTAAAATCTATAAAGATTCTGTGATCTTAAAATTCTATACTGATAGTATTGAAGTTAGTCACAGACATTTTGAGGATCTCAAAGACTGTCTGATAGTAGAAACATTTAACCAAAAATAGAATTGAAATTTTCTGAAAAGAACTAAGATGTTAATATGAAATTTGATCTGGATCCGACGATTTCTTTCATCATACTGAAATCGTCAACATAAATACGATGAAACATGATTTTTCATCATACTAACACATGGTATTTTTAGGATTCATACACTTAACAAAGCTAACAAACTACACCAGCATGTTATGTTTATCGATTTATTCACTTGATAAAGCAGAATTACTTCGTACAAAATATCTTTCGTCACCTTGGCTTTTTTAATGGTTCTTCAAATGGTACTATTACCGAATGAAAACTGCCTACCAATTTCAAACAGGAGTTCAAAAATATTTTTTGAAATGAACTAGTGTATAATAGGTACAATAGTTGATATCAGTACATGTATTTTGCTTGAATTTTTCACGTTGTGGATAAAATATGTTGGTTATTTAAAAAAGATCATTTTTCATTCTTCTGATTCTTCCTAAAGGTCACTTTTCCACACAACAATGCATTTAACTAATATCAACATTCCTGTTTTTTATTGATTGATCCTTATTATCTTGTTCATTTTCTGATACTCTAACAATCTATTCTAAGTAATATCTTTCAGCAATTATGGATTTGATTGTTAGGGTTGATTCACAAAGATATATACATGGATTTATAAGAAAAGAATATATACATTAAACTATTTAAAATACAAGTATGTTTTTTGTTCATGTTTAGTCGATAGTAAATTAGTTACAACAAATATAATCATTCACCTGAACATACTTCTTATGTTGTCAGTATAAATGATAAAATTGTTTTGTTTTTTGTTTTTTACAATAGAAACATTTTTGTAGGGAATAAATTTAAAAAGATAAAATGACATAGAAAAGCAAATTCAATGGTATAGAACAATTCAAATTACATGGTTATAGTAGTATAAAAAAACTGCAATAACTGATTATAATATTTATTTTTAAAGTAAATAGGGCATAATAATTAAAGTTTAATTAATGCACAGCAAAAGGAATGGTCAAAAATTTAGCAAATTGTAAAAGTTTGAAGTGATGTAATGGATTAAGTTTCTTTGACATTGCAGATATATTTGCCATTAGAAGTTGGAACTTGAGATTATGGGATTCTGTTTGGACAAAGTATAGCATATTAATGTCACATAACCAGCTACATTGATTTGAATAGATTGAATAGATTTAAAACTAATACTACGATATTAAACATTCATTATACTATTTATGAAATACCTGGTTATAGTAAAAAAAATCTTACCAACTACACTAAGAATAGCTTTTTGTGATCCAGGTACAAAACGATGTAGGCGTCTTTCTGGTATAGTAAATTTTTGTGGGATAATAATTTTAAAATTATTTACAAATAATGTACTGGAACTTGTTAAGTCTAAAAAACTTGCAGTATGATAATAATTTGTTACACCATTCATCTAAAATTTTTAATTGAAAAGATGTAAGGAAGAATAGAAAGTTAATCTATTGGATTTCAATGAATTGATTAATTAGATGTGTGAATTTCAATTGAAAACAATCTATTCGTTACACAAAACAAGATAATTATTATTGACGCTCTTAAGCAGTTGAATAAAACTGATAAAAATATAACATTCATCGTCATAGCGCATTCGCAATCTTAAGTGAAGTAAAATTCAAGTGATATTCGAGTCTGCATTGTTCATTGTCATAGTTAGGATTTTCAGTTAGAGTTTTGGAGATTTGTGTTTTTACACAATTGAAATCATCAACCAATCATTGTTAGACCACCATTAGAAACCTGGAAGCACTGGACGGCCGTTTCGTCCTGGTATGGGACTCATCATCACTACACATCCACGACTCGTGTACCTCGCAGGATTCGAACCCGGGACCTTCGGTACTGTGCGCGAACGCCCTGACCATCCAATTAGTTGTTTCTGTGGTGTGGTTGACTAGTGGTTAAGTCGTTAAACTTTACGCTAATAAATTCAAAGTTCGAACTCGACCCTGTCTACTTCGGTTTGAACAGAAGAGGAGTATCAGTAGTCCTTGTAATTAGGGTATGACTCACACTAAAGTAACTGATGAGTCAGTTAATTTAGAAAAACTTTGGAGTCAGAGCGATTATTACTGAAGTATTCAGGTCTCAGTTGAATCCTTTAGGGAGTGAAGTTTTTGCTCACTATTTAATCACTTAGTACATGCTATCGAAAAGAGAATGTACTATTTTCTAAATATTAGAAAATTGACAGTCGTTCAGAAACAAAGCCACATTAAACCATGGACCTTGTTTAGAAACTTATTTTTAGTTCCTGCTTTTGGAACCTGACAAGTCACATTTGGAAAGTTATAAACAATATCTGTGAAGTTAACATAGTCTTGTTCTCAAAATTTCTTTGGTTACATTGTATTATGTTTAAAAGGTAGAATTTTTGATTAAATAGGAAATAGGAATACTCAAAAAGTTACTTTTATAAAAGCTCGTTTCCATAAACGCCTAATTTGGACAGAAATACTGAATTTGGATCACGTTAATAGAAAATTGCTTGTTCTGATAGACATGGTGTACTTGGCATTTTTATAATCCAACTTTATATATAAGTATTAATTTTCAAAACCAATAATACTTAATGCAAACTAACTTGTCTTTCGAAAGGCATATAATATTACCCCGCTTAAACAAGAATCCAATCGAAACTTACACGAACATGTATTGTATGTGTTTCACAATTGGAACCGATAAAACTGTACGCACATATTGTAAATGAAGTATTTCCAGGAAGTTTAGGCGAGATCGGCATATAAATATAACGAGACGTGCCAGCTTCTAGATAAGCTAATGACTGGACAGCCTTATTTACAGACACTTCTGGTGCATACGCTGATACGCGACCTTCTAAACCAACTTGAATAACGCGTATATCAGGATTCGCTTTCACTTCCACTAAAGCCTATAGAAAAGAAAACGCATACAAAGGAAGTGAATTTTTACACAATAAAAGTTAGTGGAGGATATTTGTGGAGATTATATTATTTTCACAGTTGAAATCACTAACTGATCTTAGCTAGATAATGATTGGAAACCTGGAAACACTAGAGGGCTGTTAAACCCTAGCATGGAACTCCTCAGCAATGCGCATCTATAATCTCTACATACAGGGTCTGGGGAGTTCCAGACTAGGACGAGGTGGCCGTTCAGTACTTTCAGCTTTCCAGTGGTAGTTTAGCTAAGATCAGTTCGTGTTTTCAACTATGGAAACGACAAAAATTTATTAATGATCTAGTAGTTAGTTGTAACAACAACTTTATAGCAAACTTAATATAATTTCAATAAATTTTCCTAATCGCTAAATAATCTAGTATGTTTATGTTTTGATTGTTTTAAAAGCTAGCAGTTCTTTTAAAATAGATCATCAACTCTATATCGATAATCAGACCTATCATTTTAGATCATTCATCTGATTAGTTAACAGAAGATATACGAAGTGAATTAGGGTCTAAATAGTTCACTAGTAGTATTATCTTTCAATCATAGTGAAGACAATAACAAGCACAAAATATCTTACAACTTCAATGAATGCCTTACATATATATAGCGGATACGATTACTTGATATTAAGAAGGATAAAACGAACTCTAGTTTTTAATAGCTGTTTGTCTGACTTGTTCGTGATAAAACATTTCGTTCAGGTATTCAATTTATTTGTATAGAACATTGAGTTCAGTCAATTCATAAACTTTTAATTACCTCAATCCAATAATTCCAATTATTAAAAAGACAAGTACGAACACCAATTTGTTCACCCCAGACAGCTTCTTCAGGTAATTCAACTGTCATATAAAATCGTCTTGTACCAGAAAATATATAAGGTTGTTGCATTAAAGCTAAACCTAATTCACTATCAACAGAAAATGCACCAACTACCCAGTCTGCGTTCATTTTTGGTAGATTAACACGAAATTGAATTTGTCCATCGGCTCTAAATTAATGAAATGATTAAAATGAAAGTTAAATTCAGAATTTCGGACAAGACAAAAACACATTGTGTTTAATGTGTGCATTCTGATAAATAATGTTTTAATAAACTGTATGGTTTTAAAGGTCAGTATTGGAATTTTCACTCGCCCTCGAAACTTTAATTCTTTTCATTCAATGTTTTAGCTGGAGATTAACTTTCACGTCTTTAAGCGTTGTATAAAAATGATATGCAAATGTATCAATATGACTTTAGTTTTCAATAGCACTCAAAATCATTGATTATCTGACACGATAAGTAAACAGTAGTATATGATTCGTAAAAAAGCGAACTATATTTCGTTGTTTATCTTGAAGGTAATAGGTAAAAACTCTGAAGTATATGAAGAACTTTTATTCAGCAATCTTCATACTAAAGGATAAAAATTCTCAAGGAAATTGATAATCAATTCTCTATTTCACGTATATACATATCCATCATTCGTTTGTTGCATTTTATCTTCTAATACAGTCACTTGTGATGTCATGTCATGTACAATCGTGGTTATACTATGATTCGATTCTCTATGGAAACTGGAGAACTTAACACAGATTAGTGTTCATTTAAGGGAATATATTAAAATCCTAGACAGGGTCACTTCTGACCGTAATAGCTCTGAATATGATATTGTTTGACATGAGCATCGATTCCCTTAAGTTAGCAAACAAATCTTCCTGATAAGCACTAACTAGCACAACGCTGAGGTTTAGAGCTTTCAAATTATTGCTACCAACCGCATAACAGCAGTATTTCACAGGACGGGACCATGCTTAAAATTTTTCCTGGTACAGTTTTTCATTCTTGAGGCCTAAATTATACTCACTGAAGTGAGTACAAAGATGGTCTCAAAGACGAACCACAATCTTACTTTCAATTATTTTCCTATTCTGTCATCTTTATAACTTAAATAATTCGTTGTTCATAGTTGTCACTTTCGGTACGTTGTTTGACCTTTGGTGCAGTATGATTTGGTCAATGATGGTCGCTGTTCTGTCCCGAGCTAGCTGTAAAATTTTCAATGCATTAAATCATTAGTTTAATCAAAATCCTTTGTGTTTGACAAATTTATCAGTACCTTCTGAAGTTAAACCAAACATTTTGAGAGATGATTAAAGTCCTAGCGCATCGATATTTTCTGTCAAGTATTTAACTGATAATAGCAATTTTCCACTCACATACTACTTGTTATTTTTCTTGTTTTTTTCAGAGTTGAAATCACAAACTGATCGTGACCAATGAGGTTCAATCCGTGACTGAAGTTAGATATTAACAATAACGGATGATGACTCATTATTCAACAGATGAAGTGTTCGCGCACAAGATTGGAGGTTCTATTACCGAGTGCAGAGGTCGTGGATGCAAACTATTGAGTAGTCGCGTACTTGGACGAAATGGGCATCCAGTGCTTTCGAGTTTTCAAAGGTGGTCTAGCTTAGATCAGTTTGTGATTTGAACTATGAAAGTAATCTAATCGCCAAAAATCACCTTCATTTGGATTTTTATTTTTAACTACACATGTGAATACTACGTACTTGACGAATGTACTATGCCACAACCATGCACCATCATTCCACTGACGATTTAGTATATCGAATGTGTTTATTGGACGTAACGGTTGAGGGTTCTTAGTCTCATTTTCTGGACAATCCATTTCATCAATCCAAGTAGCACATTGATTGATGCCGTCACATCTTTCACTTCGTGAATAACAATCACGACCAGTAAGAGAGTAGCATGGTAGAGCACGTGCAGGGTTCTCAGTTTCATTACATGTATCTGTTAAATAAATAATGATAAAAAGAATTCGCAAGATTACTTTTTTGAGTATTGTTTTCATGACCAGCAGAAATGCTTATATTCATTACTACAATAGAAACTAGTCAAGTATATATGTTGCACTTCTAAAGCATTTAAGAGACGTTCATAATTTTCATGGAAGTGACTTGGAAAATCGATATTATGGTTTATCCGTAGTTACTGATCATTTCCAAAATTCATTAAAAAGAAATTAATTAAAACACTATGTAACAGTTGTGCTTAAGCAAACGAAAACAAAGTCAACAGCATAGTACTAATGATTATTAAAAAAACAGACTTAATTAAGTAATCCATTTTTTTCATGACTGGTTAGAGGTAAATATTCAAGTATTCAATCGAAGTTTGAAAAATTTTGCTTTTCCTAAAGAAGTCAATCTAATAAATAAAGTTGAAACAATAACATGAAGAAGGGATATTCATTTTATTTTAAGAGTTCACCAAGAAAAAAAATGACCAGTTAGATTTTTCTATTTTTGAAAATAATATAGGACACTGAATTAACAATAAGTGTTTGAGAGAGAAATATGCAAATCGAAATCCTGTGTTAAAAAATGTGATCCAGCAGTGACTCTACCAACGAGTTCAAAATTAAAATGAAGCATCTGCTTCGTTTCTTAATAATCCTTGCCTTGATGTCAGTCATACAGTTTCAGGCTATTTCCCTATTTTCAAAAAATTTTAAAACCATTTAACTGTATGATATAGTTTTATCTGAAGTATCTGACGCAAAAGTTATTGAATTTTCGGATTAAATAAATAATATCATCAAATTGTAGAATGCTAAAAATAGCTTTAGCGAAATCGGAATTTCAAAAAAAAAACATCCCAGTTATCAATGTCGTTCTAACATCTCCTCCTCTGAGTTTGTGTATCAAGCATGAAGTTAGTTATCTGTAAACCATTATTTTTAAGAACTTACGATAAAAATTCGCTTTAGTAAAATTAGCATCAGTGAATATAATCAAACCGGATGAATTCATTGTACTATTGGTATCAGCTCCATTACTTGATGTTGGTAAATAGATTCGTTTGATTTCTTTCAAGTCATCATACCATGTATGAACTAATGGTGCTTGACTATGTTGTTCATATGTCATTAACTCATCCACAATCTGGAAAATAAGAACAGATAAATAGGAAATCAAATGTAATATTTAACACTTAATAAACAATTTTAATAAAAATATAACTGAATTCATTTATATTTGCGACGTTCGGCATATTTTCAGCGAATCAGTCTAACAAATATCAGTAGAGAGCTTTGAAGATTGTTGAGTTTCGTCAGAATCGTGAACCGTTCAATGTTAGAGCATTACTTAAAACGTGAAAAAACATTAGATGGCTATTTTGAACTAGTATGGGACTTCTTCGAAGAGAGTACTTAAGACCCCAGGCACGGGAATTGAGCTTAGGATCTTCAGTCCATAAATTAAATTAACTTCGTAAACGGTACTATTTAACATAATCCCAAGTAAAATTTCAAATTATTCACTTCTAATAATGAAAGTCAGTTATTTCAACAATTTAAACAGAAGAATTTTATCTCACAATTCTTAAGAATACCTAAACATTCACAAATTTCTATGAGTATTAAACGTAGCAAAATACAATACATCGATTGAATACTGATGCAAAAATTCATTAAAAACGATTTGATTTAAGTTTCTTCATATGAGTAAACTTAATACAATCCGCTTGAATAATATTCCTTGAATTGTAGAAACCAATAATCTTGTAACAAACATATTACTGTTTAAAAAATGAGGTTTTTTGTTGATAGTTAATCGATTAACATGCAATCCTAACACGATGGTGGTAGAGTGAACAGAAAATGCATGAAAAAAGAGAACTAAATTCCCTTGGAAGAGAATGGTATTGTTCTATTTCGTTTATATGCACATATATACTTATATATAGACACGAAAGAGCTTCTTTTTCAGGAATAATGACTATTAAAACTGAATTAGTGTACATATTGAAATTCGATAGCATATTGATAGAAGTAATAGAACAAAGCATCACATTATATTATATTGCTAAATCTAAACTTACATCATATTCTCGTAGGAATGAAGCTCCACCAAAAGCATACAAATCAGCATGCATTACACTGAATGCCATATAAGATCCAGGTTTAGCATAACCTCTAATTTCTAGCGTATCCTGATTTAAATCTTTTCCTCGGTTAACTTGCATTTGTACATTATTCAAATGTGAATAATTCGTATAAAATGTTAGTGAATCTGATACAATTTCACTGTTGTCTTTAATATAATACGCAACAATATGTGATACTGGAAACATATAACGTGATACAGCAATTGAAAATGTTCGTGATGTAACAGCATTTCGCATACGCAATTGATCAGTTGCTAAAATATTTCCGTTAGAAACGACCTAGAAAATCAATCAATCAATTGATAAGGTTAATGAAAGTACACGATGAACAGTAATAAATGCTAGAAAAAACAAAACAAAAATTCCAATGCTAAATTTTATTGCATCTTGTCATGTTGAAATACAATGCGTAAATACTTCTGAATAAAGGAAATAACTGAATTAGTATATTGAAGTGTTCTTATTAATGACAGATTTTTCAAATCTATGCTTATAATTAAATTGAATAAAAAATTTGAGTCATAGTTAAAACCATGTGTAGGGAACTTTGTTTTTGTCACAAGAAATCTAATCGCTGAAGTTTAATATTCCATGGAATTTGTAGATACTTGAAGTCAGATGCATAGGTCAGCGTTATACAACATTTAAATGAAAACTATTTATACTGTAGCAATAATGCACTGAAATTATCGCACTAGTGAATTAATGAATAACTGTTGGTAATTCAAAATGTTTAAAGAAAGTTCAATAAAACTAGTGATAGTTACTGATATACTAACTGTAAAAATTGTGTTAACTTCAATGGAAATATAGGGATCTTCCAGGAACTGTCTCATTTCATTATCAAAAGTATGATTTATTAATCACTAGCTTGAAAGTGACACTATTACATATGTTATATTCTGTTCAATTTATACTTTATTAAGCAATCTTACATTGGAACAATATGAACAATCGCTTGATTCTATGATGTATGGAAAATTTATAAAATTCATCGTGAATTGTACAATCAGTGTCAGCATCTTTCACACATTATTAGTTTTCTCAACCTTCCAAGTATGATATTTACTGTGTATACAATAGAAAATTCAGATGGAAACTTCTTAACGCGAGCTAGCAGCGGATAAGAAAGGTACATAATTAGACAGATAGATAGATAAATAGATAGTTAAACTTATCAGAGAAGGGAAAGACATTAACTACATCGTGTTGTATAAGTTGTTCAACAGGAAAACTTACATCATGAGATATTTTCGTTGAAAATTTCTACACTAGAATAAAACAACCATTCAATGCTTCCTAACTTTTAATGGTTGTTTAACGGAACAGAGAAGAAAATGGTTAGTTTGTTTAAATTATTCAGAATATTGTAATTTTGATTTTGACGTCAGAAATCATATTTTAGTTGAAAAGATTAAATAAGTTTTCCATACTGACAATTTCTAGTGTAATTCATTCGGGGTATATTTATTTGATTTAAAAAAATTAACGAATAGTTTATTCACACTATGGTGTATGTGTATAGTACATTTAATTCATTGAAATCAACTGACTAGAATCAGAAAATGTATGAGTGATTTGTTCATTCAAATTTCATAATTAACCGAACTTTTAACTGGTTAAATTATTATTTAAATACGTATCAAAATTTTTTCAGTGAATATAACTACTTATTAGAATACTATGTACTTTGATTAAGTTCACATAACCAACCAACCAACCAACCAACTTACCACATAATGTATTTTGTCTGTAGGATAATTAGTTTGTACATGTATAACCATATATTCGTTTACCTTGTAAAATGTAGTAAAGAGGACATTAACATCATAATATTACATCAAAAATAAAAAAAAATTTCCAAAGATTATTATACAATTTTTAGTTGACGGTTATAAAAATACATATCATTGAATATTGAAAGTATTGGTTTATGTCATTCTGAAACGTTTTCAATCATTGATAAATTCAATAACTGTAATGATTAAAATGCAGAACAATTGAAGTCTATAGTGAGGCATTTTCAGTCTGTGATTCAGAAAAGACTGTCAGCTTGATAAGATTCAATTAAACTTAGTTTTAGGAAAGCGATGGCTTCCTCATTTGTGTAAGTTATCCTGTATGTTGATTGAAACTCGATGTATTCAGATAAATCGCAATTTATTAAATTTGCGAAATTTGAGTACTGAGACAAATACCCAGTTTACAAAAAGATCTACAAAATTGGCAGAATTCACATTAAATTGAAAAAGAGATGCTAAAATTGTGATTATGGAGGAGTAGATTAGTAGAATTAAGTCAAAATAACGAAGAATCAAGTGTGACACAAAAACATACACACAAAGGAATAAATTTCATTAATTCCCGACAATATGAAAAAAATCGGACGAAATGAGAGCCAGTTAATCATAGAAGACAATGGATGACAGTCGCTTAATATCGTGGATCGATTATAGCTAGACATTAACACCGCCGATTATCAGCCCAGTGGTCTAGAGGTCAAGAGTTTGTGAATGAGATCGAATGAAGCGGGTTCGATTCAAGTGTGCAGAGTAATGGGTAAACACTGGTGAGTCCCATACTAGGACGAAACATTCACCCGCTGCTCTCAAGCTGATGAAAGGGATGTTAAAACAGGCATAGTATATCTTACATTTATTCAGTACTTTGCTCGTAATCTTCAATTAAGCCATTTAGAATTTTCGCATCGAATCACCATCATTAAGGTGGTTAGCTTCAATAGGAATATTAAAAATCAACTCCAGAAACCTGTTGACTATGTAAGTTTTCACAAAGTACTAACTATAATTGCAAAATATTGTTTAAATCAGTTTGATATTTTTGTTTTAAAATTCACGCTACTGACTAATACCATTCAGTAATTTACTGTATACATCTTATTGTTTTTCCCCAATACTTATGTGTACATTGTGATCAAGTTGGTGTGACTCACTCAAACATCATTATTTTCTTAATAAAGAACTTATACTGGACAAACTTTGGTGTATTATTACGAATTTATCTTGAAATTTAGAAAAATGTGAATCATATTTCTTCAATAAATAAAGTGATAAAAGATTAGGCTTAATAGGAGTTATAAATATTTCATTTATTTCAGTTTATTTTCATTATATGATTTGCCTGATCGCTAACTTTAATTGAGATGTTAAAACTGACAACTTTTTCATAAAATGAATTTTCAAATTTCATTCGGACATATTTCAGAAGACAGAATAACCAATTATGTGACTTTATGTATATTACGTAATTAAAACCAAGTTAAATATTCGAAACAACGAAGAAGTTTTAGATAACTTCAACTAGTAAAACTCAAACTAAGTATTGTTTATTGTCAAATCATTTAGAATGGTGACCATAATGCAAGGAAAAAAAACATGACAGAAATAGTAAATCAGTATAAAAACCGATTATTTCGGTATAATCAATAGAGTAACCTATTACTGTGTGAGTGAAAATATCATTCAAGACATATGTAAACAACTCACTTTAGGTGAAAAAGTTGATGTTGATAACTGTAAATAAGCACCTGAATAAGAATTTACAGCAAATAAACGTTGTTGATCGCTTGATAAAATTCGGTCTGTCTCATCAATATATCTGGCCTAAAAGTCAGTAATAAACATAAATATGTATATAAATATAATACACATCACAGTACAATACTCTAAATTCCTTCAATAGTTATATTTAAGAAAATTAGCTGTTTCGTGCCTTTAAGCTTTGTAGTTAAGTTTTGTGTGTTCTCATAGTTCATGGTAGTATGATAAATCTTCATTTTCATTGACAACTAAGTAAACTAACTCTTCGTTTCACGCATCCTTCATCTGAGAGTGTTCTAACAGAACTATAGAAATTCGATTACCATAATTCAGGTTATAATGAATGGTAATGTGATTTGTAAAAAGAAGCCGACAATTAAGCTTGATGCTCACTGACGTGAGAGTCGAATTCACGACCTTCGGTCTCACGCGTAAACGGTTAACCTCTAGTGAAAGCGCACTGCTTGTGAGTCCCATACTAGGACGAAATGGGCGTTCAGTGCTTCCCGGTTTCTAATGGTGGTCTAATAATGATCAATTCATGATTTCAACTTGAATAATTCCAAGTTATAAAAGTTCAAACAGATCAACAATGAAATAAAACAAGGACTTGTATTTTATCTTAAAACAGTTTTTAGTGTTAAATGTTTTGTTAAAATGCTCAAATAGATAATTATTAATGTCTGAAACTACTGGAAAAACAAGAAAATTCAATAGATTTAAACATGATTCGCTTAAATAATATCATTCTGATTATTTTAGTGAAATAAAAAATGTTTATTGTCGACTTTATCAAAAAACAACATTATTAAATTCAGTTTACATGGAATTGATGAATTTAATATATAGTGAATATAGTTTATCTTTTCTAATATTAATCCTAAATAAAATATCAATGCTCATAATTTGTGTATCCCACAAATGATGTATTGATTGATAGTATATATTAATTTGATTACATTATAAATGTTACATTTACAGATATAATGGTTATATTTGAGTGCTACTGATTAAAAAGTATTTAATTAGATAAAATAATGTGATCTAATTACTAGACATACTTCGGTTTCTTTTTGCGGTGCATTTGATCATTTTATCAGAAAACAACATATACGTATGAATCAAAGATGTTTTCGTATGACTTATTGTAAATTTGAGAAAGAAATTTTGTCTTAAAGGTTTTTGAAGTAAGGCCAAACAAGAGTTACCAGATAAGAAGGCCAACTAGTGTCAATCAAGAATTATCCAGTGATAAAAAAGCATGTTGTTAGTCAAAGAAGGTTTCATTTGGTAAAAAGCAAACATGTACAGATATATGTATAAATAGGACTGTTTATGTATGCAAATCGGTTCACCTCAATAAACTTCCTTCTTTACTTTTAGTTTACTCACTCAGAAGCCGGTTAGGAACTTGCGTATAGGAAGTTTATTTATTAGTATTAGTAGGGGACGCAGTTCATTTTAACATCAAAAGAGCAATGAAAAGTAATTATTTGAACTTACTTCCAATCTATAAGTGATACAACCTTCTCCAGTTGGCCTATAAGTATAACGTATTACACCATCGTCTGATATAGGTAGGGTGATTTGATTATCAAAAGTATTATCAAGGCAATAAAATGAGAGTGTAACTTTACGATTTCCACTATACTTCACCATACTACCATCTGCCATATAAACAACCAACTGAGAAGAAAATTGAAAAAAGCGTCTAATTAAATAATGTGCATGCCATGTTATTTTCAAAATATGATAATAGAAACAGAATAACAAATGACTGATAATAATGGCATTAACATTTAGTTGGTAGTTGAGCGATTTAGCTTAAATGACTGTAAGTTAAATAATTCAGTAACAAACATTAGATATGCAATACAATGATCGGATTCGGTTAAAATGATGAAGTGTAGCTGATTTTTCATCTACTCGAAACATTACATAAAAATACAGTTTTTTGAAAACTTCCCCAGATCTTCTCTACTAATTGGAATAAGGATTAGTAATACTGTGAGAGAATGGTGAGTATTATGAGATAATATTCAGTACTCTATTTTACGTGTAAAAAGTATGGTGTGTTATGTGAAATGTAAAGATTTTTTAAGTAACTAAATACATACCGATATAAGTTCTAAATGCTAACTTACGTAAATAGTCAAATACATATTGGGTTTGAAAGGTCGAACCATTCCACCAAGAAATTTTATCAATGGATTGGAAGAATAAACTTTTGTAAATGCCCAACCAGTTCGATGAGTTTTTTCCCACCAATTAAAATAGGTTACATTCACCCAAATTTCTGTATTAGCCAATGAAGAATCTGTTGTAGAACTACTAACAGCTTGACGTATTTCGGACATGGGTAGTAGAAAATCCCCAATTCCATCTAACTAAAATAAATATAAAGCTGATGTAAAACAAAAACAAAGCAAGTTTCAATTTGCAATATATAAATGTGTATTTGATAAGTGAGTGATAGTAAAGTACTGACAGAACAGTTTTGTTTTGAGAATTTCTTAAGTAAATAAAGGTTTAAATACTTAACATGATTATGAAGTCGAGTGATAATGTGGTGTATACTACTAGCGACCTGGCTTATAAGTAGTATGCAGGGGGAGTGTCTCCCAGAGGTTACTATTGAAGAGAATTGTGTCGGATCCGAATGAATAGCAGGATCAAAGTGTTTTGAAGACTAGTAAATGGAATTGTGAAGATATTGTTGTAGATAGTTTCGTAGTCAACCGTGTCCTTTTTAAATAAATCACACATACTCTATTCAGTCTTCACGTCTTCATTCATTGAATAGTTTATATAATGAAAATATATCGTAGTTCAAAAAAGAAACAAACGACAATCTTATTAGCAGTGCAGTTAGTCTATTTTAAGATTTAATAAACCTATTCTACAGTTCAACCAATGATATCCGGTGAGCAAGTAAAAAGGCCGAAATCATATTTCACCTAATAGAAAGTACTAAAGATTGTGGAAATCATTCGATTGCAAATTATTTTTAATCGCTAAATTTATTATAATGATAAACAAATTTAAATATTACACACTTACTGCTAATAAGTAACGTCTAAATTCAGCTCGAGGTGGGCTAGTCCAACGATTAATTCCCGATTTCCTTAACTGAATCAATACAGTTGCATTGCCTTTAACAGCTTTTCCACTTGTATAATTTGCAGATATTAAACCATAAAGGCCTAGTTCATTATCAGTTATTCTAAGTGGAAGAGTTACATTTACATCCCACAAAGGTCGCCCTTTAAAAAAATGAAAATAAAAATGAATAATTATTTCAGTAAATAGAATATTGGATAAATAATTTCGATAGAAAATCTATTTATCCAACACACAAAACAATCGGATTTAATCCTAACAACAAGCTATTACACATCACAGTAAATATTATATTTAATGAGCAAATTGATAAATATCATAATTATTATTTTAAATAGGGTTTTATTAAAGTTTTAATATGAACATCAATATAAGAATGAATGTACACAAAGTAGAAAATTTTTAAATCAAAAACGAATAAACACATTTCATTCATTATTTGAATTTTATTCAATTTATAAATGCAATCAATATATTAAGGCATCAATAAAAGAGGTTTGTTTACCAATACACTTTAGTAAATTACATTTACAGCTTACAATATTCTTTTACTTGAAATGTTTTTTCAGCTGAAAATCTTTCATGATTAGCACGTATTAACCAAACACCTTCATGAACTTGATCCGATAATGGAAAGTCTAGTTCAATTATACCTAAAGATAGAAATTGAAAAAACCTTATGATGACAATTATCATTTGCTTATTAGTGATTAGCTACATGAGAAAGTTTTCGAACTTCTAGAATTATAATTATAAAATTATTCTAAACTGATATCATTGAGTGAAATAATACGAATTAAGACATTATCTGTGAACGTTTGCGCAAAACTGAAAGCGTATTGCGAAATGGTCTATACGTTACTAAGTGAAAACCCTATAGGACCATGATCCCAAATCACAACAATAGACGAACACTTCAAATGTAACTTAAACTTCGTCTTTAATGCATAATATAGTTTAACATGTAACGTTTTATTATTCCTTTCAGCAATACTAATGCACCTTGATTGCACTGCGTTTTACTATTAGTTTTTTCATGATAAACGCTGTTTTCCAGTTGGTTGCTAAGACACTCAACGTGATCAGTACGGTTCGCATTTACCGGTGGATATGATGGCCTTCTACTTTTGTTTTTTTCATTGTGTGGTTGTGGGGATTGTTGATTTACTTTGAAATCATGAGTGGGTCAACGTTAGGCTATTGTTAGAAACTTGGAAGCACTGGAGTTCAACCAAGGCAGTGAATGAGGTTGTTCAAGATCCTGAATTGACCAAAGTTGGACACTGAGGCCGTTTTGACAATTTCTAGAGATTATCATATTCGGAAATCAATTCATGCTTAGATTATTAAAATTTTAGTTTGCGTTCAATATTATTACATTTTCGCTTAAAATTGTTGACATTCATGCCACGATAAAAAAAATCTACTAAGCGCTGTAAAACAAGTTCGTAAGTTTTGTTCATTTTCACTTGAGTATTTGATGATTATTGACATTATCATTCAGTTGTTAAAAAATTCTGATAATGGTTGACGATCGTCAAATCTAAAGTATTTTGGTTAACTGCAGGTAGTCACAAAAATTGAGCATTTAGTTGAAATGATATCACATTCATTTGTTAAATGTCAACTCACCTCCAATATTTGTCATTGGATTTAACCATCGTTTAAATAAATTACCTGATGCATCAAGTACATCAATGCTAACCAGAGAACCAAAAGCAGGAGTTAAATCTGGTAGCATTGGAATAACACGAAATCTGACTATTTGACTTTGATGATATATTGGTTTACTAACCTTAATGAATAATGAAGATGATAAAACAGTTTTATCAACCGAAAATTAAGAAATTATCTTCAGGTTCTACAGTTATGTATCCAAATCAATAATCTAAAATGTGTCCAGGTTTAAGGAAAAGTACATCCTTCAAAATTAGAGCATGTCAACTTGGGATGATTGGGAAATAGAATTAAAGTTACTACTGGTTGATCAATGAGTAGTGACTTGTGAGTTGTGCAGATCTCAGGCCTAAAATAGGTCGGTCGTGGCTCGAATAGATTAGTGGTAACATCATAGACTTTAAAGGTTGATGAAATGGATATGAATTCGACAACAAGCATCAGTTCCTTCAATATCACCGTTACTAGATGGTTATCAGTGTCGAGTATCGCAAAACCAAGGTTTAAAGTTTACGATTGGCTATTTCCAACCACCAAAAATCTTTTGAGTGACTGGAAAATTTATTTTTAATTGACGATATTATTGTGGTAAATACATTTCACGATATGGCTATCTACGCAAAACTATGAAGGAATACAGTTTAAAATGACTGTCAACATTTTATTGATTATTTGAGTAATTAGATGTTGGAAAGCTCTGGATCAAAGTTTAGCAACTGTAAGGGCAATCTTTAAACAGGCACATTTAAAATCTCGGAAGAAGCTTTCGAATCCATGTTACTCAGTGCCATAGTTATAGGCGTAGTCTCAAAGCTATATGACCATCGGAAAATCTCTTGTTATTACGGAAATGTTTCAAAACTATTTTATCAATAATTCAGCCAGTGGGTCGTCATTGACTAGTGATCAATGTAATGTTGTCTAGATTGGCAGTGTTGAACTAATTACAAGTTCATTAAGAAAACATCTAATTACAGAGATGAAAGTCGTAAATAATAATAATTAGTGTTAATATTTATTTAGATACTTAATTTTTTTTAAAAACTCGATAATCTTTAATAATGACTTACATGTATAAAGATTGACTCAGACTGTTCGGAAAATGTTAGTTTTGTGAGATTTGAAAATAAAATTGAAGCATTGGACACAATAGAACCTTCAACATGTAACCAGTACGTACCGGTTCGAGCATAATTAGGTACCTAAGAAGAAAATTTAAAATGAAATTCACTCTGTGAAAGAAACGACTGTACATCTTATTTCATAAGAAATGTTTGTTTCATTTGTTTAATAATTAGGACGGAGTATTAATCATAGTCAAAATAATAATTTCATCAGATGGTTTAATCAGTCAGTCAGTTGAACTTAGTGTAGAACCTGGTATGTATTTGGACAGGTTCTAATTACCATTCCTCATTATCAAAGCTTAATCATATCGTTAGGACGAATCCTAGAGTCATAGAGGTAGTAACAGCACTAGCAGAAATAAGAAAGATAAGCATCAAGGATATGATTTTGGAATACATAAAATAATACGGTAGGAACATTTATGAGGATGAAATATGAAGAGTGAATAAACGTTCACCAGTGTGAACGATTTAGAACTATACCAACTATATCAACCACATCACTCGAACCACCAAGTATTATACAACCATTAACAAGGCATAGTTTTCAGGTACATTAATCCCGATTTTTTTCTTATTTTGCTTGTTGAAAAGAAACGTCGGTACTTTAAAATAAAATTTAAACGAACGTCCTTGATCGGTAAAATTCTAAGGCTACGGAGGATTAGGTTACGTACAACATATTTACTCGGTTAACTGTTGAAGTTGACTAGAATTGTAAGAGTATGATAAAATATTTATAAATATAAAAATATAAAGATTACTTTTAGTTGCATGATTCTCGTCCCAGTAGATTTAAACACTTCTCGACTAGAAATAATTTCAGTTGAATTAACTTTAATGGCCAACCGTATTGTTAACTGTTGATAAAGTAATTCAAATATAGATACACTGATTTGTACAAGCTCATTAGCTCTGATGCGATTAGGAGCGAGAATTACATATGATCTAATATGATTTTAATCATTATTAATAGATGTTAAATAACTTACGTCAAGGGATCAAGTTTGTAACCTTCCTGCCTTTGGGCATTTACGAAAGAAAAAGTGATTGTAATGCATAATAGCAAGTAATTACACATTTGATTTCAGCTGGAAAGTAAAACAGATTTCATCAATTTACTTTATTAAAGAAAATCTAACTACTTGCGCTAGTTTCAGTAGTAAATTTAGTCATTACGAAATGTCTGCATGAGTAAATTCTATTCCATTCGTCTTAACAATAATATTCTAGTCTCAAATTCATCACGAACCGAAGGTCAAGGTAAAAAATTAATTGATTTAGATAGATTTTTTACAAAAAACTTTGTACAATAAGTTAACTCTCTAGAAATTTAACTGCTTTCAAAGTAACCAAGTGATAATAGGAGTCGACAGATTTACAGTCTAGGTTCGTGTATTTTGATCTTGATAACCTACTAGTACCCCTGAATCTCAAAAAATAGATAAATATATGAACATATTTTGGAATGATCAACAAAAATATCCGGAACTGATTACTTGATAAGTCATAAGTCAATTTCATACATCAGATAACAAGCCGTTAGAACTTTCCAATACGACATAGAGTATGAGAACGTTGATTTTGCCTTTTATAGGCAAAATTTGATTGACCGTAAACTGCAAGGATATTTGACAGTAGTCTTCAGATTGTTAAGTTATTACGAACTCTATTTGTTAATCCCGTTTTAGTGAATTTATGTGCTTAATATCTACAGTCTTCATGCACTGATCCACTTGGTACTAAAGGATGTTTATATGAATCTAGAATTTTTGCATCAATAGTTACATAGAAAATGCCTGGATATTACAATAGCCGTTAGCAGAGAACCTATTATTATCCATCTAGATGTTAGTCCAGACGATGTGGTTTACGATGAACATATAAACCGAGTTAGAATTTAGTACGAAAGAAGAAACGCGAAAAAGATAATAATCTTGTAGATCACTTTAAGATTAGGACATATTTTGAAAGAAGCCTGATGCTTAACGAAAATCTGTTTATTCCTGACTAGTTTATTTCATTACTTTATGAGAATCTCAGGTATCTAGTATCAATTCTTATGCAGAAAAGTGATTGAAATTGCTGCAAAGGAGCGAAATACCACAAACTGATTTGTTCGAATTATCATAAGATGAGAGATCCCATAAAAAAAGTCAGAAGAACTGCAAAACATAGTTTTAGAGGTAAACATCACTAGCAGCTGTAACCGGTTAATTTACCGAATTCAGCCCAACAAATTAGAAACAAGAACTCAGAAAACGGCTAAAATTCTTATCCAAAGGAGCAGTAGTTGCCTAAATCGATAACAGGCTGATAATCTACGAAATATTTAGACCGCAGGGACTTTTAGCGTTGTTGGCTATATTCTTACGGCTTTTTAAGTTATTAGACTGAAATGGTGCGATGAAATATCATACAGTTGCTATATGGAGTTTTACTGAACACAAAATCCCGACTAGTAGATGCTAAGATTTGAAGATTAGAGAAGGAATTCTGAATAAATAACCTAAGGAACTTTCTGTAAACAAAGGTGAACAACTGATACCTAGTATAAAACTTTCACGGTAGAAATTTGCTTATTTTACAATTACATTTGATAACCAACTCCAATTATTGGGTGTTCTGATGGGGAGAGTAGAATGAATATCGAATTTAATGAGTACACGTGATAACTAAGGTTAATAATCAGGCAGAAATATGGATTTATAAGTAAACAAACTTACTGAGGATAGTAATCTTTCATCAGGACTAGTATTAAGGAAAGGATAGCAGAAATACCTGAAGCACAACCGGAAGGTTATTCAAATCTTGCACTTTGTAATGTAAATATTCGAAAACTGATTTAAACCAAGTAAAACGAACTCAGTCAAAATTTTCGAAATCTAAAGCTGGAAAACACAAAATTCTGAGATGCTGAAAAATTTGTTGCACTTACCTACTGATGCGCAGTGTTCGTGAAAACATGTGTTGTGGCTAGCTCACCCGAAAACCATAAGAGCAAATGAATGTTCTGATCCATTGGTTGTTTGTGCAAAATCACTCAAAAAATGGTACGAGCAGTGAGATTCTGGGTTTGGTGGTAATCTTTGAGAATTAGCATTCTCGATATGTTTTAATGAAGCACTACGATTACATCATTCATTGGTGGAGGTGCCTGAGTGCTTGAAGGTCAAACTGTCATGAAACGGTTATTGCATCACATCGACGACTAATGAAATTTTGGAGAAGCTGTTTATTCAAAACAATTTTAGTATCCTCTGGGCTATCGGACTAACGGTTACTGAGTTCGATATGAGTATGTTCACCATATGTGCAACCCTAGTAAAATCCTGACTTGAATTGAGCTGAAAGTAGCTGTTTGATAGATGACTCGGATTTCTCAGGCACATGCTTCCAAGCTTGTAACTTTTTTTCACGCACTTTATCTTTTTCCGATCGTTTTGCTCGAGATAAAAATACAACTAACTAACGGTTGCGTTACGACGAGTTTCTTCATGACTGTGAAACAATGCAAGGTAGAGCAAGGTCTGCATATAACAAGAGTTGATGAGGTAACTGTGCCAAGAACTGGTTGATAACCTTACAGGCCCTTGGGTAAAGTAACCAAGTCTTCGGCAAATATCCAGACTAATACAAAAGTATTGAAATAAGGTGCTGCAAAAAGAGAAATAAAGAGAACGGGGCAATGAGCAGAACAGAAAATATTTTTGTTTAAAGACGAACAGTGACTCAGCACATCCGTTTTCGGATAAAACAAAGGTATGCTTATTCAGGCGTTTTTATATTAGAACACTAACTGTACACCTGCATTTATGTAGGTTAATGAAGGTGATTCAGTAGTCAGACGACGAATGGACATTTAATCGTATGAATGAATGAAATTCAGAATAACCAAATTATTAGCAATAATGTTGATTTACAGAATATAATAATGAGGCTCTTATGCTTTTGTGTTATTTTAATTATTCTTTTTAACTCTGTGGCTCAAAAAGTTATGAATGAGCTCTTTCTCTCTATAATTGTCCAGGTCTGCTTGTAATTGGATTTCTTGGTAGGAAGGTAAAACCAGTTCAACGTTACGAACATGAGTCGTAGACGAGGTTAACAAGCAAAATTATCACCGTCATGAATGCTGGTCAAATACACCACCCTCCCTCCTTTTGTGATGTCTTAGGTCTAATGCTTGGTTGTAAATAATGTTTTCTAGTCTACTCTCTATTTTTCGTACACGTTATCGGAATTCACTTTCTCTATCAGCTCCAAGTCACAAGCAATCCAGACAACTTTGCCTTCTGCATGAAAGACAAAATATCCACGTATCAAGTCACACTGATTTTTAAGTAAACTAATGGTATAAATATTAAGATATGGATGCCGATGAATTGGGGAAATAAAAATTTATTAAACTATAGTACTTAAAAAAGAAGGAACTCACAATGCTACAAGGAGTTTGAGTTCCTTGTGTTTGACAGTAGTTGATCAGCATCTACAGGCTTTTCAATTTATCTGTCTACTAGAAATAAAAAACTTAAACTTTTTTGAAAATATGAAAATAATTATTGGAATTTAAATTTAGAGAAAAGTCACGGGTAGCACCTTAAAGGCGTAACCTATTACTGTTAGAAGGAGAAGGGGGATTTGCCTATCGTTTCGTGATACCTGTACGGATGGTAATGTAGGCATAATATGTTCATAGTCTGTAATTAGTTTCTAAAGTTTATCTAAATATTTGGTGGACCATAAAAGAGTGCCTCGGGTTTAAGCGTGAGTTCCTGGAATAGTCGATAAATCTCTTTAGAGTCTATCAACAATATTACTAGTTTCTTGAACTTAGTAATTGTGTCACAGATACTAATAGTAATCGGTAACCTGTTCCACAGTAGACTGTATCGTATTACAAAGAAAATACAACGCAGTGATTTTTTGTGTTTCGCCATTAATGGTGTATATGCGTTGTTTCGAAGTCCGTAAGCAGTGTCGTGGTTCAAAATTGGGCGGTATTTTACGAACCAGAGACCATTTATCAGTTCATAGAGAAGTATTAGGTTGTTTGTCAACCGACGGAGCCATAGAGGAACCCATGCTGTGATGTCGACATCAGATTGTTACTAAGTGGATGTTATATTAACCCTGCCTTAACTACTTTCTACTAGATACAACCGACGTTATGTTTATGGGTCGGTAATTTTCAACATTCTCTGTAGTCCCACATTTAATTATGGGGATGATATGTGTAGTCTCACAGTTAGTAGTGCAACACTATGTGGTGAGTGATATAGTAAATAGTTTAAGAAGAATAGCACACAGATCATTGCTCCCATTTTTAAGCATGCTGGCTGGGATACCATCTGGTCCTTCATTGTAAGAGTGCTTCAGAGTAGTAATCGCCTTAGAAATGTTCTGTACACTAAATCCAATACTGGCGATTTCACAGGAAGGAATTTGGGTCAAATGTGATTCACTTTTTGGGTTTTAGTTTGTTAATGTAGCACAAAAATATTCGCTAAACAACTCTGCAATACTTTTAGGGTCTTCATACTCTTGTTTGTCCTTAATAAATATGCTCCCTCCTTTCACTTTGGAGCATTTAAGTATATTCCGAAGGAGTTTTATAAGTGTAGAGGATTCATTGTTCAGCTAAACAACATGCTTTTCCCGTGCAGTTGCCTTTTTAGTACGTATTCTCTCTGCCTCGACACATTTTCCAGTCATCGTTACCAATGGGGAGAAGTCATTACAGTTATGAATTCTGGAAGCATGTCTTCGAAGACGTTTTTTCGTATATGACCTAGCATATATAAGTCCTTAAGAATTCTGGGTCTCGAGGATTCTAAAGGTGCAAATTTGTTGAAAATGCTATTTGTGTTGTGATAAAATACATTTATTAGTTCATCAGTATTGTTTGCGGTAAAGTAGTTAGTGCAGGCAATACTTCTAAGGTAATTCCAGAAGTTTGCACAAATAATCCTACGAAAGTCCCTACGAAGTTTAGTGGGTTTACGTTTTATAGTTATAGCTCCTATATCAAGACTGCATATGACCATATTATGAATGCTACCTAAGGACGTTTTTCCAACA